TTTTGATTATTTATTGTTCTTGCTCTACTTCAGATTCCCAAAGATGATGAAGGAGAGCCAACGTATGACGAGTTTATATGTAAGGCATGCTCTGAGGTATGTTTCTTTCTAAATTTATACCCTAAAGAAATATGGGCGGTTGGAAAGCAGCCAGATACTGCTATTAGCAAGGACAAAGGTGTTTTGGAAGATGTGCCTTCAACTTGTGGATCTGAAAAGCTAATGTGTGATACTTCATATAATTCTCCAAAAATTGATGACGCACAAGCTACTGTTGATTCTAATCCTATATCTGATGAGAAGAGTCTGTCTCAGGCAGAGAATTGTAATGGAAGTATGGCATCAAATCAATGCACAAAAAGCACTGATTTGCATGTTAATTGTCTCCTTGGTGTTGACATTCTTGCTTCTTCCCCAGTTTTACATGGTAAACCGATGTTCCTCTCCAAAAATTGGAGACATGCTTTATGCAAATGCAATACTTGTTTGGAGTTTTACAAGCAGAAGCAGATTGCTTTTCTACTCGACAAAGAGGACTCAATTGCGGAATATGAGCAGATGGCCAAGCTAAAGAGAGAAGAAAAATTGCAGCAACAAGAGGGTGCTGAGTTAAGTTTTTTTAATAAACTTGGACATGTAGAGAAAGTGGAGATCTTGAAGGGCATTGAAGAGATGAAAGATGGGCTTCGTGCATTCCTGGTATGTTCTCTGACATGAAATAGATTTCTTATATCATGTTTGGTCACCTGTTCAAAATTGTAGAAAGGTAACGCCAGTTCTGTAGGCAAAATGAGACAGGTGCATAGCCTTGTTTAGTTTTGTGTTGTGGTTGATTATATGTTATATTTTGTGACAGGAGTCTGCAGACTCGTCAAAGCCAATTACTGCTGCTGATGTACACCAGTTTTTTGATGACATTAAGAATAAGCGTCGTCGTGTACAGTGAGTTTTTGTTGTCTTGGTGGTTCAAGCACGTTGGTCAAAACTTTCAAAACTGTTTAGAGTAGATTTGTACTATCTGATGTTCGAAACTCAAGCCTGTATGCTTTATGATATTTATATGACAATGCTCTGCTTGTATCAACTTTTCTACTTGCTAGACTCGTTTTGGTTCCTGGAGTTATTTTGGATTTAACATGTGGCTGTTAGATTATAGATTCTTATCGCAACACATTCAAGTTTTTGGTCCATTTTTTAAGACGTCAATATAAGTCACCTTATAAATAAGTCACTTTTTAGAAAATATACGTCTAATAAAGTGTGTTGGTAACATCCCCTCTCTAAAACACTACCAAAGCAATTTCCGTCTTTCAAAAATTGTGTCAAAATCCTACTTCATAAGCAGTGAGAAATGTTGATAGTTTCATTTATTCAATTTACGGGATAGAAGTTTTTAATTTTGGTATGACATTATCATCGTATAAGATTCACTCGCAAGATGATTTTGTACTTAATTGTTTAATAATTTATTTGGTAAATATTAATATCCTATGAATTCTATCGATAGATCGGAGATTCTTAAACATGATAAAGTTTATAAAATTTTGTTTTGAAATATCGGTGATATTTTATTACACAATTTTATTTTAATATATATTAATTTTTTAAATGTGTTCAAATCTTACATTGTGCATCAAAAATAAACTTTTATTAGACTTTGAGTGGCGTGTCTCAATTCTATAAATGCAATCTTTCATTGATGTCATCATAATTGTCGTAATTAAATCACTTATAATCAGTCACATTGAAAAATGTCGCCACACCTATAATTAATCACACAAGGTGAACAGAGAATGTCCTGTAAATATCTACACTGTCGCAACACCCTTTCTAATGTCTAACCATTTCCAATAGAGTGAAGATACAGCCTCCTAAAATTTTTCGCTGAATCATCTTCCTCAATGGATGGTTCCATACAGGTTATTTCATTTATTTTCTGAAATTGAGGTTTTATGGACACAATTCTATGTTAGCCATTTGGTCACAGTTTTTATTATTTTTGCAAATGATATATTCAACAGGGGATATGCTGAAGTAGTTGAATGCTTGTGCTTGATCAACCGAATATTTGTGCTTGATGGAGTGGTCGAATGCTTGTGCTGGATCGACCGAATTCTTATGCTGAAATGGTTGAATGCTTGTGCTTGATAAACTGAATATTAATGCTAAATGGTTGTGATGGAGTGGTCGACTGCTTGTGATGTATCGACTGAATGTTGGTGCCAATTCAATCAAATGTTGGTGCTGGATTGATTGAATGTTGATGGACTGAATGTTAATGCTGGAGTGGTCAAATGCTTATGCTGTATCGACCAAATATTTGTGCTTGATGGAGTGGTCGAATGCTTGTGCTGGATCGACCGAATGCTTATGCTGAAATGGTTGAATGTTTGTGCTTGATCAACCGAATATTAATGCTAAATGATTATGATGGAGTGGTCAAATGCTTGTGTTGTATCGACTGAATGTTGGTGCCAATTCAATCAAATGTTGGTGCTGGATTGATTGAATGTTGATGGATTGAATGTTAATGCTGGAGTGGTCGAATGCTTGTGCTGTATCAACCGAATATTTGTGCCAGGTAGATACTGGGCTTATACAAAAGAAAAATGTAACTTGTGCCAGGTAGATACTAGGCTTATACAAAAGAAAAATATAACTTGTGTCAGGTAGATACTAGGCTTATACAAAAGAAAAATGCAACTTGTGCCAGGTAGATATTGGGCTTATACAAAAGAAAAATATAACTTGTGCCAGGTAAGTACTGGACTTAAATAGAAAGTCATATGTGAAGTAAGTGCTTAGCCTAAAAAATCTACGTCATAAGTTCTAGGAAGCAAGAGATGCAAATGAAATGTGATGCAATGGTGATATGATGCAAAATGTTATGAGACATAACTTTCAAGACTTAAACTTTTGTTTATTTCCCTTTTTGTTTTTGCTTTTGCTTTATTTTTCATAAATTCCTCATCGTGACACACAGCCAAGGATCATGGATGAGTGAGGCCTTTGGATACTTTTAACTTGAATGATAGTCGGTTATTCTCTTGGGTTACCCTTAAGCTGTTGTAAGTACTTATGAGTTGAAACATTATCCTGTTGGTTGTGCTTTGTAACATTTATCAGGACATTATCAAGCATACTGTGGCTTTTAAAACTCATAAAATAATTTATAATGCCTTGAATTTTTTGACATGTAACATGCATTTCCTTTCAATATATTATCATAAAATGCAAGGAGAATTGACAACAAGGGAATAAGATAATCTTATTCAAGAAAGAAAATGTGTTTACAAAGGAAGTCATTGTATGACAAGAATGACAAATATATACAACGGTAGCAATGGGAAGTATTTATCATGTGAGTGACACTTGCCAGATGAACAATGCTAGTACTACACTTAAATAATCTTGATTGCTCGCCAATAAACTTGAGGAGATAATTCAATGTATTTTGCCCACAGTTTTTTCAGCCCTGCCATGGCTTGTCCCAATTGATACCGTGAAAATTGGCATGATACTTCTCTCTTATTCTGATGGATTTTTTTTTTCTGACTCTAAATTTTTCCTAGATTTCCTAGCTTGAATGTTCTTCTTGAGAAGCAAGACTCCATGGAAAGCTCTATCATCACTTCCACCCATTCCTATTTCTTAGGAAAGTCTCAGGATATGGGTTGACAATACCTTCATGAGAGAAGAAGCCAAAGGACCTCCCTCTATACGAGATCTTCTAAAGTGCCACATCCAAGTAAGTGTAGGACTAGCCCTACAGTCAGACAACCTAGGCCTCTCTAAGGGGCAACGCCCCTCTACTTCTCTATGTATGAATCACGAACTCGGGGCATGCCCGGGCCCTCGAACTACATTAAATGGGCACGTGTAAATTGAAAATCCTATTTTAATCTCATACACTTTTCTACTTCATTTCTCTTCTCCCTTTTATCTACTCTAAGTCTCGTCAACAAACCTTAAATGAACAAGTATATTTGAAATAAGGATGTCATTAGAAATAATGGCTTAATATGCAATAAGAAACACATAAAGATCAATCAAATTTGGCATGACTTGTGGATAAAAGTCCAAACAAAATCAGTGCAAAGGGCATCCCCCTTTAATAAAAGAATGAAAAATGATCACAAATGCTGCAAAGACAAAAGCCCAACAAGAAACCCACTAAGAGGGTAGCACAAAAATTAGGGCAAGTCTTCTAGGAGACCCATTTAATATTTTATAATTTAAATTATTATTTTAATCATTCGGTTTAATGTAATTATCATTTTTCTTTCCAATAGGTTCACATGCAACAATGGTCCAAATTGGATGCATTCTGAACAGAGATGTCATGAAAAGGATTTATAGGAATTAGAAAAAAAAATCGATGAGCATTTGTAAATATGCTACATACCATATATGAATCGTATAGCACCATCTTTTTCAAGACATCTCTATTCGAGATGTGAATCATTGATGCATGCACACGTACCAAAGTTGTTACGTCAATACAAACATTTTGTTACTCACATACTACCATATCAAGGTGATTCATGATATAGGATTACAAAACTTTTGAGAGAAATGAGACAAATCCTCCATTTGTTTTTCAGCTTATGCAGCCATCCTACTTTTAGGCTTGGATATTTTTCTTCCATCCCCAAATATCCAAGTCGCATTTGCTTCTTATAGGACACATTATTCTTTAACCATATAGAACTTTTTCACATCAGCATGTACACATGTATGTTGGCCATAGTCGTATGCTCCATGGTATTGGTGCATGTTGATCTATATCAGTCTCACCATAGTCCTATATTTCGTGGTATTGGTTCAGTATGATCATTTGATGTTCAAGTGGTGTGGCATGTATGTGTACAATTATTTGTTCTTATACCGAGACCTTTAAATGAATAATGATGTCAGAAGGTTTAGTCCAGTGCAAAAATAGAAACGAAGTTTTAAATAAGCTTCATTTTATGAGATGTAAATGTTCTGTTCCATGCTGATATAAAAGTTTTTCTCCTCTATTTCAGATATGGATTTATGGAAACAGTTTTGAGTCTTTCCTTGTTGCTGTTGTTAACCCCAGTAAGCAAGCACTTGAACATTGGGCACAAGAAAATGGTATATCCATGGACTTCGATTCTCTCTGTGAAGATCCTAGAGCAAAACGTTACATAGTTGAAGATCTCTCAAAGATTGCAAAGAAAAAGAAGGTCCTATTTATTTAGTTTACATTTATTATCATTATTCTAATTTGTTATAATCGGTTTTGTGTGTTTATATCTCATTGATAAAATTTCGCATCTTGAGGTAGTTTTCTACAACGAACAAGATTTTTTATAATTCGCATACAATATACTATTTTTTGGTAATAATAATATATAACATGAAATATTTTGTCTGGACTTTCACTGGCTTTAAATGATCTATACAATATGTAGACATGTCTGTACAACCAACCATATTTCCTGAAACTTTGTGGAATGGTGTATGTATTTGGCAGTTGAAAGGTTTTGAGTTTATAAAAGGAGTTCACCTTGAGCCAGTTCCATTTGACATGGAACGTGACCTTATCACTCCAACATATAAGAAGAAGAGGCCTCAGTTGCTTAAATACTATCAGGTACACGTTGTCAAGTTCTCAGGATTTCATTCAATTCATATTGAATAGAATAGGTATTAAAGTGGGGTACAGCCTTCATAGTTCATAAATGAAAGGTTCTTTTTTTTTCTTCTTCCTTTGTTTACTCATTCCCAAACAACAAATAAAAAGGTTGGGAAATGTCAGTCAATTCCTATTCTGTTGATTGTGTTGGCTACTAGTCAGTGACTCAGTGTGATCAAATCAATACGGTCTTGAATTTCTGTGAAACCGCTCCGCTTTTAAAATGCAATTTTCTATCGCACATTTTAATCTAATGGGTTTCAGAGTCAAGCCACTTTCATTTTACTTTAAGGCTTTGTTAAATTTGATTTTGGGACAGGGATGGAATGGTGGAGGGTGATAAAAGTACTGACTGCATCATTTTTATTTTGTGCACAGAATGCCATTGACAACTTGTACAGGAGTGGAAATAAACCCAGTGACTGAGACTAGATTGTAATGTAACTAGATTTAGTACCAAAGAGTTTATCAATAAATATTAAAGTATTAATAAGTGTAATGTTATTAATTATAGAATTATTGTATTAAGTTTGTTATTCGTTTTACCACAAGAGTTTGATGGTTGTTTACTTGTAGAAAATTAAATAATTATAAGAAATAATAGTTTTGTTTTATTATTAATCTAATTAATACATAAATTAAAAGTAAACATAATAATTCATAATATATCATATCTTTATGAAGACTTCATGATAAATTCTTTGATTTTTTTTTATTTAGTGATTAAAATTTTTAAATCTAACTTGCTCGTGTCGTAAAAAATTTACATGTATGTTAATTTTTATGTATAATTAGAAGATTGTCCTTCCTTAAAGTTGTTAAAAAAGAATAAAATGCTAGAATATATAATTAGAAGGTTATCCATTCTGAAGTTGTGGTTGATCCTGAAGAATTTGTGTGGTATCCTAAAGCCAATATACTTATAAATTTTTAACATGATATAAGAATATACATAGAAGAAATATAAATAGATGTTTTATTTCTCCAAAATTGTAGAAAATTTCATTGGAATGAAGATATATATCACTAAAAAAATAGACATTACTTTCTTGATATATCATTATTTAAAATAAATAATTCCAATTTAAATCATCAATGAAGTATTTGCGTGAAAGAATTAAGCTACAATGATTTTCAAAGTAAATATTACAAAATGAACATTTAAATGCTCCTCTATAATTGCTTTTAAATTATATGGATATTATTAAAGAAAATCAATATTTCTTGTTCACTGCACAAGTCACAACCCGTAAGTAACCTTCCACATGTGCAGATAAAGGTGCTGCTCCAGACAAAATAAGACGTACTCTACCCCCTAA